AGGCAAAATAAAATATATAGCTTAAATCAATATGTGGAACTTTGAAACCAGTTTCCACACATTCTCATCAAATCTACAATGTTTATGCCAAAAAGAAGAAAAAATCTATTATAACCTCATAAACTACCTATTATATAAGGTGATCTGAAATTCAATATTACTATGAGTAACTAAAATCCATGATGCACTGGATCCTTTAATTTTTGGTAAATGACTCTTCATGATTTTTTTTCCCTTAGAAAAGAGAACATTCACATCCTGTTTTAGAACACCAATTCCTTAAAATCCTAACAGAGTTATTTTATGGTATTATCATAATCATTCATTTAGCAATATGTGAAACACCATGCTAATATATTCAATCTCTGTATTCCAGCAACATCTTGTGTTTACAGGGATAAGACATGAGGTGCACCAGAAATACTACCATTTGAGGTCTCAGTTTTCAATATATTGGGCATAAGGAATTTCAATATATTGGGCATAAGGTAAATACTTTCTCATCTTAGAAGGAAGAACAGAAGAAAATAGGCAAGAATAAAAAAAATGAACAATGTGAAGAATGGAGGAGAAACAGTCAAGTAAGAAGTGATGAGGATGGCAAAGGAAAGGAGAAGAAAATGTAATTAGAAAAAAAAACCTTAAAAAATAAAGACAATAATTTGGTAAATTAAAAGATAGAGAGAGAGAGAGACAGAGAGAGAGAGAGAGAGAAAGAAAGCACATCTGGTGTTAGTCAATACCATGGTATTGATTTCACTGACTAAGCCACTCCTTGTGGAAGTCCAGGGGCTGGGTGGTAGGGTGAGAGGGAGGAGAAGGGAAAGTTTGGCTTTAATGGGTCACCACATTCTGCATCCGTTCTGAATATGCTGGCTTCCCTTTTAAACAATACTCTCCTGTTGTTATGGGGTTGAAGGAACAAAAGGGTGAGGACAGAGTCAAAAAGGAGAGACTAGAGGTGAGAATAAGATAGAATAAGGGAGACACCTTTGAGAATTATATAAATGAAGTTAGAATGACCTTTCCAGATGATTCAATAGTTCTTTAATATGTTCTCCTTCCCCCAGCCCCCACTGCCACCATCTGCAAATCTTGTTGAGCAATTATTTACCATTTAGGGGGTAACAAAGACCACTAGCTCATAGAATTCATCTTCCATTTCTCACTAATCAGTGTCCAACATCCCAGCTATTTACTAATGTCTATCTTTTTTACTATCCCAACCTAGTTATTTTCCATTCCAGTAGCCTTATAAAGGCCACATATATTATAAAAGCCACATATATTAAACCATTTCTTGCCAGAAGGTACTCAGGTTCCAGAAGACCTTTCAAAATAATAGTGAATATGTTTGAATATTTACACAAAATGAAAGGAAATTTTCCAAATGTTGGATTCAACCACCACATACCCCACTCCTTTTAACTGATATTTGTAAGAAGAAAATACTTGTTTTTAGTATGGATAGAATCTTTAAAACATTTACACACCAAAAACAGTATTAACATAAAATTTAACAGATTCATTAGGAATATGCCCAAATAGATTTATTAACTATAGTCTCATCAGCTAAAAAAACGTGTTAAAAGTGCATCATGAGGGCAGAGTTGCTGGTTCAAACTATGCCGAGGTATCTCCCAGAGAGAGGGATGTAGTGGCAGATGAAGTGGAAAAAATCTTGGGAGATTCCAGCAGCTGTGAGGAGTTGGATCTTCACTGGCGGGCAAGACATGCAATAGGACTCAGTCTGCTTTGCTTGGATGTTCATGATTTTTTCTTCTTTCTACCTGGCAGCCACAGTTTCTCAGCCACAGAAGTGTGTTGATTTGAAAAGCTTAAAAGCCATTTATAATAAAGAATATAGCAATATGAAAAAGGACATAAAACTTCCAGTTTCATTTCAAATAAGAAAATATACTTTTTAAAAAAAGAGCAAACTAGAAAACACATACACCTAATTGGACATCTTGAAGATATACCATACTAGCAATTTCAAAAAATAGTATTAGAATTCATCTGTGAGTTATTCAACTTTCTCATATCCTTAGGGAAAAATTTCAAATTGCTTTTCTATGGGTGTTAAAATAAGAAAAGTTGTCCGATTTTATATTGTACATTACTAACTTTAGCAGTAGAAAATTTTAGAATTACAGAAAAATACTAACTGAGGTAATAACATTCAAAATATAAGGTTGAACATTACTCTTCATTATTAGGTCTAAATTGGTTTGGAACAATATTGGCAATATCTCACTATACTGGTCAATTAATCACTGGATTAAAAAATAATATTAAATAAGTATTTCCAATGTTTTAGGTCATACCTTAACATAATTATTAAATCATAACCAACCCCGAATATCTCTGTTAATTAATGTAGGGATAGAAGGGGACTTTGTAGACTACAAATAATTTATATCTATTTCAACTAATTTATCTACCTACCAAACCTTTTATAGTAACAAAAACAAGATAACTTCCATTTTATCACCTCTGTATATTATCTAGTAAGAAGTTAAAAGCCTTGCATAGACCACAAAGGAGGCAACAGCAAGAGAGGGCAGACTAGGCTGCCTTTAATACAATGCACCATTCTTACATAAATATGCTTCTCATTTGAACGTAAAGAAGAAAATCTGGTAATTGATCACGTTATTAAGGAAGTCTACTTTCAGGGAATTCAACGTAGTAGCAGTTTGCCAAGAAATATGACTCCAATTGGTCCAATAGCTGTTGTAGGTAAAAGGGAGGAAGGGAGGTCGGAAAGTTAATTTTTATTGAGTTCTTAATGAGTGCCTGGCATTGTGACACGTGTTTACATATCTATCTGAAAGAAAGGAGTGAGGAAGTAACAATAAAGTTAAATTTCTTACCTTTCACCCCTGCTTAATCTCTCACTGAATCCTGAGTTTTACTTACATGATCCTTAGAATTCTTCCCCTTTGTTTAATACTTTTATAATTTGAGTTTGGGGAGGGAATGTAACAAAATTGAAGGCCCTGGAGTCAGAGAGCTTTGAGTTGCAGGTGAGTCAAACATTCTGAGTCTCAATTTCCACAAATACCTTCTTCATATAATTATTTTAAGTAGTAAGTGACATAAAATACATGAAGTACTTAGCATGATGCTTGGTACTCTGTAAGAACTCAGTAAGTGTTGGCTATGGTTATTATTATTATGAAATGGTAAGGTGATGCTTAACTAGTTACTATGATTCGCTTAAAGCCATAAGTCAATTTCAGAGCAAAAACTAGAAGCAAGTTTCCCCAACCATCATTCTCTGTCATTTTCAATATTCTAGAATATTCCTGTGATGCAAAGATGTATTTATACATTTTCACAGTATTTACGTATTGCCAATCCATATAGATTTTATTAGTTCACTTGTAGTCCTTTAAAGACTTTCATATTCATTTGTAAACATCAGAATCTTTGCTCCACAAAGAGTACCCTTTGAACAATTTTATTTTTCATCAGACACTAATTTCTACTCTCTTAGGATTGACCAACTTGATACTGGTCCAAGTATTGAAAAGATGTCATGTTTGTTAAGGTCACATTGCAAGAATGGAGGCAGCATGAACATTATAAGAGGAAGAAGTTGCCTGTCTACTGGAGTACCTGCTTTATCCCACTGCCCAAATCCTCAGTCGAGGGGACAAGAAACTTTAGTTAGGACGGCCACTTTGTATAGCTTCTAGTAATGACAACTTTCTCATTATCAAAATTGTTATAGTGTGGAAAGGTTTGCTGATTACCAAAATTCTGCATTAATTAGTATTAACCTTACACCTATACGTTTAATTTTTTAAAATTTTATTAACTTTTATTCACTTAGTGAATTCATTGAAGAAACAGCATAAGTTTGATTATCAGTGTTCAGGAGCCTCTCTACAATATCACAAAGTTCTCAGTTCACTCAAACCCAAAAATGAAATGGCTTCTGCCTCGACATTAGTATCAATTAGAAAGATTGGAGTTTTCACGCCAGTCTTCTTATCCCCAAAATATAGCCTTTCTTTTTAAAAGTTTCTTCTATGACTACAATAGGCAAAAAAAAAATTTGGTTAAAGGGTACAATAAGAAATAATTATTAATTCTAAAGGATTAGTGAGCTATAAGTAAATATTTACCACAAAAAACACATTTTTTTCCAAATGAAGCTTATTGTATTAATAATTATTATTTTAACTTCATTTGTTTTAAACAATACACTTTATTTTGGCAGATATAGAAGAAGTAAGTAAATCAACTGAGACAGAACACAAACCAAAGTGAAAAATCACGATGTTCATTTTCTAAACCTAACATTAAGAAAAAGGCCCTTGAAAGTCTAACACTGACACAAAAGTGCTGCTGTCAAGATCTTAGCCTGGAAATGGATTCATGAGGTTCACAGAGCAAGAAAATTTTAGGAACTTATTTAGTTAAGTGCAACAGTTTTAAAACAAAAACTGTAGTCTCCTTCTGGGAAATGAAGAGCCAATTTAGCTATTAATGTTAAAATTAAAAAAAAATTGACATTTAAAATAAACCATTCTACCAGACACTTCAGTGATCAAATCAATGTTAAAGTAGTTGAATGAATGTATGCTGTTACAAAACATACCTACTAGGTAATTCAATAGTTTGTAAAGTAAAACTTAAAAAGTTTTATCAAGAAAAGGTTGAATTTGTATGCATTTACATTAATTTCTATCCCAAAATTATTATCTCAGTTCATGGGGTGTATAACGTTATCCCATACCTGCCCATGTAGAAATGCATATGTAACCTTAGTCAACACCAATATTTCCAAGCCTTATATTAAAACCATGTTTTTAAAAAAACTATGCCTTACCTTCTATCAAATATGAATATTTATTCAGCTATCTTAAGAAAGGCTGTTCAGTCATTTTGTACACAACAGGTGTTTTATTTCAATTGGTATTGTTTTAAAGCTTTAGCAAATATTTATATTAGTTCCTCCCATTGACTCATAAGGTAATTATACATACCACAGTCTGATGGTTAACTTGAATCACTTCATCGCCAGCATGGATTTTCTTGCACCGATCTGCAGGTGACTAAATTTAACATAATGGAAATGATAAAAAACACAAATTTTATCAGTCATTTCCTTTCCCTGAAAATACTACAGTAAGTCTACATCTTTAAATTAGATCAAGACTTCAATTATCTTCTTTAAAAAATTAAGCTAATACAAATGACTACAAGTGTTTAATATATTGTTTGTATTCTATAGATAACTAAAATAATTGAAAGTTAAAATTTACTTGAAAAGCGATATCCAGTTTATTTTTTATTCATTTCCAATTTCCAATTATTTCAAAACAAAGAAGTCTTGAAGTAATATTAACCTCAATTCAACAAATTTTGAAATTCGCAAAAGAATTATCTGTCATAGGCCAGAATTCAAGGTAAGATGATATCTCAGACAAATCCAGTTACTCAAGTTATAATACAAGTAAACTCTTAAGAGGGTAGTTCATCTAGGATATTAACTCAACCCTAAGAATGGTATTGTAACAAGAAAAAAATGTATTTTTTCATAGCACCTTTAGAAGGTAGGCTTATTACCAAATCAGACAAGTATGATGCAGTAATTCTGACAAGTTTGTAAATCATTACTGTAACAGAGTTGTAACTATCTGACTCATAACTGATCTTTTTAAAGGAGAGTATAGAAGAAAAACATCAAGCCAATGGCTCTAGTCATGGTGTAAAAAGAAAATGATAGTTGGTATATAAAATTGAAAGAAACTGAACCAACCTCTTTCACAGATAAGTAAAAAAGGGAATAATATAAATTATAGACTTTCAGTGTTAAATGGGACTCTAGAGATCATTTTGTCCAAGCTTCTCATTTTACCTATGAGAAAATTAAGAAACTAGGGCAGAGCAAAGCAAAGTAACTTAACCACTTTAGTGAGCAGCTCTTTACTAAGACTCAACACAGATCTCCTAACGATAAATGACTAAGGATACCAAAAAGTATGAAATACTTTCAAGAATAAAGAATTAAGTGATGAGCCATTAATATATGGTTCATATCTGAACTACTCACAAAATCAATCTTTCTGTGATCACTCACCCATTTATCAAATATTACTGAGTAATTAATATGAGCTGTACATAGTGTTTAACTTTTTTACAGACTTCAGACAATATAGAGATGAATTCCTATCAATTTCTTCAAGATATAGTTCCACATAAACATTTCTGTGATTCCTTCTCTGGTTTTACTTGGCAGCATTTATGATTCTTTCCTTTGTCTGTCTATGCAAATTTCACTACCTGTTTACACACATAAACCCCTAGTTGCATTCTTTAGGAACAGCAAGCTAGTTTAGTTTAAAAATTCAATACTTAGCCCCTTGCCTGGAACACAGCAGACATGAAGCAAAGTTTGTTATAAGAACAAATGAATAAATGAAGGGTCAGAGGAATGTACAAAAAAATGAGAATGATCAATCAGTGACAGGAGTATAGTTTACAGTATATCACTGCATTTAAATTTTTTAAATGGTTGACAATAAGCATATAACTGATATTTCTGATCCCATATAACTTATACTTAATACCAAATGTGAAACCAGTACAGGAATCCAACTGCAATCTATATAATGTGTTTCACTATTCTCAAGAAACCAACAGAAGTGAGTAGAAAAAAAAAACAATAAATGATTAATAAGTGAATTAGATGAAGAGAATGTTGATTTTTTTTTAAAAAAGAAAATGCTGGTAAGATATTGAGATCTATAATAATTAGAGATTAACTAACTCCGCCTCAGTCTTTGAAGGAACATAGCATTAATATGCAGTTAGTCAGAATTTCTAAAAGAAAAACAATTCATAGCTCAGCACCTACTTAAGAGTAAGATGGAAATCTGGGACAAACAAATATGGGAATAATGATTTATTACACTATTCAAATCTATTATACTGATAGTGTTCAGGCTCAACACGATCATTTCACATTTCTGTAGCTCTTTACAGCATAGCCTTACACATTTATTAGCTTATTTGATTTTCGTATCAACTTAGTGAGGTATGTAGTGCAGATAATATTTCCAATTTACAGCTGAAGAAACTAAAGCAATGATAGGGTAAGTGACTTGCCAAGAATTACACTGCCATTAAGATGTAGAACTAATTGTGGGACTTAGGTCTAGGGACTCTGACCCATGGCTTGCAGAGGTTCTCAAATTTGAGCATGTCTCAGAATCACCTGTTAAAACATACTCTCTTTTAATAAGAAACAGGGTGGTCTGCAGAATTTGTGATTCAGTAGTTCTAGGGTGGGGTGTGAGAATTTGTATCTCTAACAAGTTGCCAAGGGAGAGTGATGCTGCTCATCCAGAGAGGGACCTCACTGTGAAAACTGGTGAGCTATACCATGCTGTCTCTCCAATGAATTAAGCTAAATTATAATGCAGTATTCAGAAAGCCTGAATTATCTGATGCTTCTTTCTTACATAAATTTTTTAACATAACTAACCTATTTGACAGATGGAGGTGGATTCTTTCAGATGTCACAATAACTTGTCATAAACCAGAAAATACTTAAAAAGGCAAATATCTGGCTGTAAACAGAAAACATCTGATTTACTCTAAGTAACCAATTATTCTAAACTAAATGAAATGACTGAAATTCTTTCCAAACCAGCACTTACTAACTCAATGTGTCTTATTTAGTTTTTTCTCCTAATCTGTTCATGTCCTCAGAAGTCAACCTCAATTATGTGTGGTAAGTAAGTTGTTTAACAATAAAAAGAAATACACACACCAAAATCTGAAATGTTACAATACTTACATTTTCTGTAGTTCCAGTAATTACATGGAGCCCATCATATGTTGATTTAATATACATACCCTAAGAAAAAGACAGCATCATAAAAACAAGTGAAGTGACTAGAATATTGGAATATTCAAATATATTATAACCTCATTTACACACACAAAAAACTTATCCTATCAAAATGCTACAGGCCCAATGAATCCTTATTCAATAATGATGTCTTTAAACTAGTAAAAAATTCCTAACTGAATGTTCTGGTTTCTAAAGTTTGGCTGAAGAAGCCTGTACTCAAGTTAATCAAGTAACTACTTGTTAAGTAAATTGCCTGTAAAATTTATAAAATGTAGCATGGTAATTCAATATCCTGAAGAAAGAACACAGCTCACTCCCCCAACGATTCTTACTATTTGTTCTGTGGCAAAATAAAAGTTATAATGGGAAATTCAAATACTGGTTATTAGCGTATTGTACTTGAAACAAATTACACAATAAAAAATAGGTTTCTACAGAGCCACTTCAAGTACAACTAACTAGAGACAGATGAGTAATAGAATACTGTTAATGTAAACTTTTTTCTCCAGCTCTTTTGTAGACCCCTGTATTTCCTGCCTTCATTTTTATTGATGAAATTTTAACAATTATATCCAATCACTTCTATATCAATAATTAAGAGGTAATGTGTGGCACATCCTCCGCCAAATAAAGAGGGTGAGATTACATTTTCCATTAAAATTTTTTTTAATGTTTGTTATTTTTGAGAGAGAGAGAGAGAGAGAGCGTGAGGTGGGGAGGTACAGAGAGAGAGGGAGACAGAATCTGAGCTGTCAGCACAGAGCCCGATAGCCCGACGTGGGGCTTGAACTCAGGAACCACGAGATCATGACCTGAACCGAAGTCAGATGCTTAAGGGACTGAGCCACCCAAGCAGCCCTCCATTTTCCATGTAAATAAGTCCATTTTAGGGATATCTGGGTAGTTCAATCAATTAAGTGTCAAACTCTTGATTTCGGTTTGGGTCATGGTCTCATGGTTGGTGGGATTGAACCCTGTGTAGAGCCTGCTTGGAATTCTCTCTCTCCTCTCTCTCGACCCCTCCCCTCATTTGCACATGCTCTCTCACTCTCTTTCTCTCTCTCAAAAAAAAAAAACATTAAATATGGAAACGCTCTATTACAATTTAAAGTTATCTAGGTATCTTGAAATTGTATAAACTGTAAAAACAAACAAGAACTTTAAATTATGGATAGTGATAGAACTTGAAGGGAAAAAAATATCACAAGAAAATATTCACATTATAAATGGGGGCACCTGGGTGGCTCAGTCAGTTAAATGCCCACCTTTTGGTTTTGGCTCAGGTCATGATCTCATGGTTGGTGGGTTTGAGCCCCATGTCCAGCCCCGTGCTGATGGTGCAGAGCCTGCTTGGGATTCTCTCCCTCTCTCTCTCTCTGCCCCTCCCCTGCTCTCTCTCTCAAAATAAATAAATAAACTTAAAACAAAATTAAATATTAAAATATTTAATATTTTATGGCCTTTTTTCCTCTCTAATGAAGATTCTGTTACTTTTCTCTTTGGGAAAATAATTACATGAAGTTTTACTAATACAAGTGCTTTGCATTTCAAAATATTGATTTCAAAAATAAAAAAAATACGAATTTTAATGAACTTGAAGTCTAAAATATAATGGACTTAAAAAGAACCAATAGGGGCACCTGGATGGCTCAGTCGGTTGAGTGTCCGACTTCGGCTCAGGTCATGATCTCATGGTTCGTGAATTCGAGCCCTGCGTCGGGCTCTGGGTGGACAGATCAGAACCTGGAGCCTGCTTCGGATTCTGTGTCTCCCTCTCTCTCTCTGCTCTTCCCCAGCTTGCACTCTGTCTCTCCCTCTCTCAAAAATAAATAAACATTAAAAAAAAGAACCAACAATATCTTTTCAGAAAAGCACTTATTCTAGCACTTATGTAGACAGTTACTATATGTTAATTTCTCATACCTTTAGGTTAATTGTGTATTTAGATAACTGAATGTACATGTATTTCCATTGAAAATAAGTAAGAAATAAAAACAAGAAGAAGAAAAGTTCATGGGATAGTACTATTAAAAACTGGGTAGGTTTGGGGGTGCCTGGGTAGCTCAGTTGGTTAGGCGCCTGATTCTTGATTTAGGCTCAGGTCATGATGTCACAATTTGTGAGACTGAGCCCCATGTCAGGCTCTGCACTGACAGCGGAAGCCTGCTTGGGATTCTCTCTCTCCCTTTCCTCCATGTGCTCTCTCTCTCTCAAAATAAACAAACATTAAAAAAACACTGAGATTTGAATTAAGAAGTCATTTCAGTAATGTCTTCTGCCTAAAATGTTGAGGGGCGCCTGGGTGGCTCAGTCAGTTATGTGTCCAACTTCAGTTCAGGTCATGATCTCGCGGTTTGTAAGTTTGAGCCCTGCGTCAGGCTCTGAGCTGTCAGCACAGAGCCTGACGCCTGCTTCAGATTCTGTGTCTCCCTTTCTCTCTGGCCCTCTCCTGCTCACACTCTGTCTTTCTCTGCCTCAAAAATAAATAAACATTGAGAAAATAAAAAAAATAAAATGTTGATATCTGTTCCAAAAATGGCTGAGCCTGGATCACTAATGTGAAACAAAATGAATATAATTTAAAAGGTATGTATTTACCTGTGAACTCTAGTTCCTTAAATGAAAGTTCATTACTTCATCTAAAATAAATAACTAACCTCAACAGAAGTGCAAATAGAAATTAATTAAAAAATTGGCCAGTAGTTGTTGCCTATGACCATATGGTAATATTCAACCTTACACTGGTGGCAAGTGTATACCATACTCACTTTCTAAGTTAATATTTATCTCATTATTTATGGGAAGGTAAATCTAATGGTGTTATTGTAGAAGTTAAAAGAGGACAAGATCCTTGCCATCATTTTTCTCTAGGCATTAACAAAATTACATCAGATTAATAAAGGATCTGAAGTATATTTGTAAGAGATAAACAGTAAATTTTGTTTTAGGTTTTTTACATAGAAGTATTGTGATAGAATAAAGTGGGAAAAGACAGTGAAAGAAATAATATATATTACTTGGACATACAACAGTCATCACTTATCATTCTCTATCACAATCATCACAAATACCTACTTGTTAGCACGTGCCAGGGACTGTTTTAATTGTTTTCTATTCATTTCACAATAGCCTATGTGGTATAAACTATCATTATTTCTGTTTTAGAGATAAGGAAACTGAGGTACAGAGAAGCTAGGGAGTCTGTCCAAGGTGGTGAAGCCAGGTTTCAAGCCTAGGCAGTCTGACTCCAGACGACATTCTCAACCAGTAGGCTCCTGACTTACCGATTTATTAACAGAAGAGTTGTGCACCTTCACTTTGATTATAACATAATATTTGGCAATTGTAGATATTCAATTCAACCATTGACTGTTTAACACATATTCTGAAGACCTCTTTAGCCCACCTGCACAATGTGCAATGTGGTTATAAAGACTAACGGGCATTTTACAAACTTATTTTATTCATCTTTTCTTCTGAAAATGGTAAGCAGAAGTTGACTATATTTATCTCTACACTTCTTTCAATATTGTTCATTACTGATTACAAATTAAGGTGTCTGACAAGAGCTCTAAATAGTTTCATTAATGGTTAGGGCATAGAGAAAGTCTAATATTCTAAGATAAATGTTTAGAAAAGGCAGTACAGTCATGCAGATAATAAAAATTCATGGACATACTCTAGTTGTGCCTCTGGAAACAAAATTTTGAGCAATTATTACACAAACTAGGAACTTCAAGACTGGCAATTATAAGCTAAAGCAGGTATCTGTTATTTATAGGAAGAAAATCTCACCATTAATTATATATAACTGTTACATGATTTATATTAAAGTTAATTTGTTCAGAAGGATAAAAATATATATTTTTCATTTTTAATGATTTTTTTCAATGTTTCCTTATTTTTGAGAGAAAGAGAATGCACACAATCAGGGGAAGGGCAGAGAGAGAGGGGAACATAGGATCTGAAGCAGTCTCTGTGTTGACAGCAGAGAGCCAAGTGAGGGGTTTGAACTCATGAACCATGAGATCATGACCTGAGCCAAAGCTGGAAGCTTAACTAACTGAGCCACCCAGGTGCCCCCCAAAATATTTTTAAAATGCTTAAATACAGAAGGATCTAGTTATGTATAGAGTTTAATTCTAGCAACTTCATGGAAGCAATAGGATACAAATAAAGCACATTTTAAAACTGCCACAAAGAATGAAGATATTGTGTTATGCAATATTTTCATTTCAAACCTAATACGCCATTTGTTGTAACGTCTTTTAATAATAAAAACTGACTTCATAGTTTTTATCTCCCTTTGGTAGTATTAATGAGAAAAATGGCCAAAAAAGTCAGGTGCCCAAAGAAAGTAAAAGCAGCAAGTTGCTTGGATGAGTTTCAAGTTAATCATCTTCCAAATAATGAAGAGTCCACAGAAATACATCTGATCATTTGTTCACCTTTCAGAAAGGGTCAAACAGTAGGAGGACATGTAATTCAAATGGCTCTATTTCTGGAACAGAGACAAATCTGGTCTTCCATTTCATCAAAACCTTCATTCTTCCTTATTCTTTTTTTCTTTTTTAAAACCAATTAGTTAATTCCAGAGCTGACTTGAACAGTTCCCTCTCTCCTGCTTAGCTTGCCAAAGTGACATTTGCTTCACTTGGTCCCCAAATGTCAACCAATGGGAGCCAGAGCAACCTCACAGTCAAGTCAATGGAGTAGGGCATATTTGAGGATAATCCAAGTGTCTAATAGCAAAAGGACACTCTGAGGCCAAGAGGTTTCCCCAAGGATGTCTCCCCCAAGCCCTTTCTTCTCTGTTCAACTCATCTCTTGGTTCTGATCTAGTCTTGATATGTTGCAATAGTTCTCATTTTGCCTCCTTTAATTTTCTGCTAATCATTGTTGTTTAAAAACATTTTAGAAGCTAGTTTCATGTTTTAATCATAACTAAGTATGTTTCCCATCATTCCTTATAATGCTTATGACTCTCAAAACTAAGAAATCCTAGGGGATTTGACTAATTAGGTATAAAGTTGATGAACAATTTATCTAGTTCATCAGTGGAAGAACCAACCAGTTACCCTTTGCCTATGAAAGATGTTGTTTTGAAACTGGCAGAAGACCTTCTGCAGATGTTGTAAGCTAATTAAACTTCTTTAAATCTTGGTATACTCTCACCTCCTTCTATTTCTCTCCTTCAAGCACCATTTAGACATTTCTTATGGCTAAGCACATGCTAAATGTTACCAAAATTCTTAAATCTATTTATTTCAAATGTGACTGACTAAACTTGTTTATGTGGTGAATGATTTTTTTAAAAATTAAAAAAAAAATTTTAATGTTTATTTAGTTTTGAGAGAGAGAGAGAGAGAGTACGAGCAGGGGAGGGGCAAAGAGAGAGAGGGAGACAGAATCTTTAGCAGGCTGGGCTCTAGGCTCTGAGCTGTCAGCACAGAACCCGACACGTGGCTCAAACCCATGAACCATGAAATCATGACCTGAGCCAAAGTCAGATGCTCAATCTACTGAGCCACCCAGGCGCCCCAGTGAATGATTTTTAAAATGATACTTTGAATGAATCATATAAAATTTATATTTAGGCATCTCTTTAATATGAATCACAAGAAATAGTTTTTACTTAACTTTTTACTAATATTCAACATTTTGGGTTTTTCTTTTCCTCCTTTGGAAATATTTTCCCAATGAAGTGCTGCCAATTGTCCTTTAATAATGATTTCCCTAGGTGGTTCCAGTTTTACAATCACCCTCTGAGGGGCACCTGGGTGGCTCAGTTGGTTAAGCGTCTGACTCTGACTCTTGACTCTGGCTCAGGTCATGATCTTAGGGTTTGTGTGTCCCTCTCCCTCTCTCTGTCCCTCCCCTACTGGCGCTCCCCTTGCCCTGCCATCTGGCTTTCAAAATAAATAAATAAACTTAAAAAAATAAAGTCACCCTCCTAATTCTCTCACACTTCCGTTAAGCAATTTCAGCTTTAAATGTGGGATAATGGAACAAGCTTTGCTAACGTGTACTTCATTGAGATTTACCTGGACTTAAACCCTGGCTCCATTACCTATGTGATATAGGGCAAATTGGTGAAGATCTGTGATTCCATTTTCTCATTTGGAAAATAAGAAAGTACCTACTCTACAGAGTTGTGAGAAAATACTTGGCAAATGGTAAACACTCGTCTTTTTTTTTTCTTCCAGTCTTTCTCAGACTAACTGAATCTGGTTGTTAGCATTTTAAGTTTATGACTGTTCCAAAGAGCAGACCCATATCTACCTCTTTCAAATTTAAAAAATAAAAGACCTGTCCAGGGCTATACCTTCCATTAAAACAAATCAAGATTTTGGGGCACCTGGTTGGCTCAGTCAGTTAAGCATCTGGCTTCAGCTCAGGTCATGATCTCATGGTTAGTGAGTTCGACCTCACATCAGGCTCTGTGTGGATGGCTCAGAGCCTGGAGCCTGCTTCAGATTCTGTGACTCCTTCTCTCTCTGATCCTCACCTGTTCGCTCACTCGCTCCCTCTCTCTCTCGGAAAAAAATAAACATTAAAAAATTTTTAAAAAATCAAGATTTCATAATGTCCATTAATTAGCACTGTGTTGACTCACTTCACAAGGTTACTTTCCCCAATGATTTCAGGGGAAATTGGTGGGGGAAAAAATCAGGCTCTTTTCTCCAAATACTGTCCTTAGAACCACAGGCTCATAGAGTTAGAGGAAGCTTTAAAGATGAACTAGTCCACCCTCCCTTTCTTCCTCCAACATTCTATGCATGAAAATAGCAAGGCCAAGGAGGTTAAATTTACTCCTCCACCTCCTCAAGATCACACTCACGGCTATATTTTATGTAAGTGATTTGTAACTAGGTGTCCTGACTCCTAATCTAAAAGAATATATACTAATTCCTAATCTCCCACTCCACAAATAATGCTGAGAGAGCTTCCTTTCTTTATAACTACTGAAAAACGGGGTGCCTGGGTGGCTCAGTTGGTTTAGCGTCCAACTCTTGGTTTTGGCTCAGGTGGTGATCTCATAGCTTGTGAGTTTGAGCCTTACATCGGGCCCTGTGCTGACAGTGCAGAGCCTGCTTGGAATTCTTTCTCGCTGCCCCTTCCCCTCTCTCTCTCTCTCTCTCTTTCAAAATAAATAAACTTAAAGAAATATAACTACTAAAAAGGGAAACATAAAAAGGAAAATCTTCAATACTACAGGTTGAAAGATGCTTTAAATGAAACTGGACTGTGTAAAGATAGCCAAAGGGAACGGTAAGAATTTAAAATCATAAGTATTACTTCAAATAAATTTATAAATATTAAAAATAAACTCTTAAAACTAATTAAATTTAGATACTATACTTATAGGCTATGATGATGGTATACCTGCTGGCTTTTTGATATACTGATTTCCATCTTCCTAGGAAAACACTGATAAAAGGTACAAAAGCAGGAGAAACTATAGTTATCAAAAAGTAATTTGCCAAATATCAGGAGAAAAGTCATTCATAATATAGATGGCTTCACAGTGAAAAATCACTATTATGCATTGAATAAAAGCCACATAAAAAGCTAAACTTGCTTATAGATCTTTAAGAATATATTACTTGAATTATATTATTTCCAAGACTTCTATTTTCTAAATATCAATAATTATATCCTATGAAAATTCATCTGCAAGGAGAAAGGAGAAACACTGGAGCACCACACTAATAATTTACAATTGTGTAGGGGGTAAGATGTTCTCCAGTCAGTTTCCTGTTTTTTGTCTCTCTCATTAATATTAATTTTATATGCTTTATTTCTAGAGGCCCATTAAAGAAATTTAACCTCTGGGTTAAATTTAGAACCAATATAATTTTTAATCAAGTGAATAAAGTATAGAAGATGATTATTATTACATAATAAAAATATATATCTCTAGATGTCAGCCTAGTTTTGGCAAAATCCACCTGCTTACTGACTCTTTTAAGAAAGAATGGATGTGAGTTATAAACAATATTGGGTTTGTTTAGCTTATACAACCTAAGAGAAAAGAGTCCTATTAAAACCAGTACAAAACAAAGCAAAACAAACAAAACACCTACTGGCATGGGCAGGTAACAATGTAGTTCTTAGTATAAAACTGTTAAAATTCCTTTAAACCTAAGGAACTTTGGTGGGGGGGGTGAAAGAATGTAATACAAGCTAATTTATCACAGGATAATTTAGAAATCGCTATTTTAAATTCCTTTTCATTTTCACTTATCTTCATAAAACTTCTTTTCACAACAAATTCCCACTACTTTAATTTACCTCTGGAAAAAAAATACCAAAATATTCTAAGTTTGTTAGAATTTATGGATTCTCATATTCGGAGGCTACTTTGCCCACATCATTAGCCATCCAATGATGGATGGTGGCTTTGATAAACATGGTAGCTCTTACCAGCCCTTCACTTGGTTTGATGTTTGCCAGCTGAATCACTTCTAGGTGGGCAGACTGTGAAACCAGAGGATCTGATGACAGGGATATGATGTGGTCACAGACTCCAGAAAGAGTTTTACACTGAAAAAAAAATTAGGATGAACACATGTTGTATGTAACACGTGAATCACTTTTTGTTATAACTTTCTTACAAGAAAAAATTAAAGAAACATAAGTGGGTGACTTTTTTTTCTATAAAATCTGCATAAAATAGGTATTCAGGTGAAAAAAACATAATACATATACAACACACCTATATTCTAAATTATGGATACAAGAACTAAAGATCAAAATACAAGAAAGTTATGGTTTTGTTTCTCTTGTTTGATTCATCAGACCTAAAATCAAATCATTATTCCTAAATAATCTTAATAACCACACAACTTCTTGATAACAACCTCTGGATGTAACTAAACTCAATAATTTCAAAACCACCAATGATATGATCAGAAAAGTTTAAAAACAATCCAGTAAACGACCAAGAAGATGAATGTTCCAAGTCTGCTCAGTGAACTTCTCCTACTTATTTGTATATACTTTACTGTTCAAGGTTACCTTTCTATAAATTTCCTATGTCCTTCAGGTAAAGTTTGCCACTTCTTCAACACTGGTTTCTCAGCATTCTATGAAGTGTAAAATTGCATAAATTCTAAAATTGCTTCATTCTGAATCCCTTGAGGCAGAAGCCATGTCTTACTCATCTCTGACTTCTCTTCCTCCCCCTTCCCCACACCTCCACACCAGGTAGAGAGATCTTACAACATATAAGGTACTCAGTAAATACGAGCTGAATAAACTGAGGAACAAAGGAGCTTTAGCACTTAGTAGAGTGGCTTGACTGAGGACAGAGAGCTAATACTTTAGGTTAGGATAAATCTATTCATGCTGCTATAGAACAGATATAAATATGTTAGAGTGAGACATGGTAAAATCATGAAGAGTGGAACATAAGTGAATGACGCTTGGAGTATACTTTCCTCAAATATGCTAGCCCTTAGAAACTTCAGACTCTCACTGTGCTTACTGGAACCAGGTGTCCATCATTTGGTTTCTTCTTCTTATTATTATTATTTACCTTTATTGTAGGAAGAGCTATTATTTTTCAGCAGTCAAGGTGTCATTTTCTGTCCATTTCCAACATGTTACATTTGTTCTGTGACCACTACATTAGTCAATTGTAAGGGAGACAGTTCTCTCTGTCTGGTCAAGATAATAATGACTCTCTTCTTAGTTGCTACACTCTTTGTACATGGCCTGTGGCCTCTCATTCTGCACTGGGTTCAGCTTCCTCATACCAAACAAACTGCCAAACTAAATTTCCCTTGTAATTTCACTCCTTTTTGCATCAACTTCTCAAGGCTGCACTTTTATTGCAGCTATCAGCCTCCAAAGTGAGACATTAGCTGGTAAGATACCAATAACCATGGAAAGAACATGGGCTTGATATAAAGATAGATGTGGGCGATCATCACAGTGCCAGTTACTTGCTGTGTAACTGTGAGCAAGTTATTTTATATCCTTGAGGCTCAATTTCCTCATGTAGAAAATGGGGTGATAAAAATTGCTCTATATGACAAATCAGGTTAAGGTATAAAGAAAGAGCGTAATATGGCTCCAATCCAAACAAGACACTATATAAATGCTTATTTTTCCCCTGTTGCTTTCTCTACCCTCAGAGGGCTTAATCTTTACTCATGAGATGAATAATCTCATTATTCTTCATTACACGGCCGTGTTGACCATTTTACAATGACCAGTGATCACACTGCATGGCCATAATGGGAGAGTTCACATCTCTTTACTATTTCTGATGTTCAAATCTCAATGCTCAGATACAATGAAGGTATTTACCCCGAAAAGCTGCTAAGCATAGTGACAAGAGGAATACCACTTCTTAGAAATTGGGAATTCTACAGGGCCTGATGTATTTGACCTGTGCAATTGCATAGGGGGCTGTACTTAGCATTATGCTCTGCTGTTGAGGTCTTGGAATTCTCCATTGTTCTTGAACAAGGGACTTGACATTTTCATTTTGCACTAGATCTCACATGTTTGTAGCACATCTTGGCACCCTAGTTGTGTGTGTGCGTGAGCGTTTTAATTCCTCTTGAAAATATTCATCAGCAGCCATGGGGGAAAGGACAGAATGGCAGTACTCAACATACAAAAACTGGCTGCATTTCAAATTGTTGATGTTTACAGGAAAGAAAACACTTTTGGGCAGATTTAAATCTTTTAGCTATTCCTTTCCTCCCATGTATGGCTACATTTTCATTCTTATTTTCTCTTTATCTCAAGAGGGTGATAATATTGTTAATTCTTAAGCATTTCTAAATAGGATACTTGGATTGCATGATAATCTAAAGGAGATATAATCTAAATCAGTACTAAATCAGTATACTAAAAAGAAACCTTTGTCGTTTCTACAAATTGAATTATTTTAAAAGTCCAATGCATAAATAAATAGGAAAGTAATGGACATATTTAAATGGCTCAACATGTGTACATGACATCATTCAGGGCCTCATACGACACACTCGTAATGAGCAATAGCAGCTCTCCAATTCAGGCACTGGAAGCACTTAGAAGTGGGGTAGAAGAAGGAAAGGCAGATATACTAGACTGTAGACATGTTTACAAAAAAGAAAATACCAATTAAATCCACCGTATTAAGTTGCAAATCATTTTCTCAGATTCCTCTTCTTGAGTAATTTTGTTTGCCAAATACTTGCTATGTGCAAGGTCTGCTGGAATACAAAAGATGAGTAAAACAATGACTTTACCAGAAAAGCCATCAGGATTTAACAGATTAAAGATCTTGAAAAAAATAATAAAAAGACTTAGAAAAGAAACTCCACTAGAACCTTGCTGCCTGTTTTAGAGATAATGTACTAGAACCTTTATATTATAGTATTTGGCACTTGACTTAATAAGCCAATTAGAAGGGGTATAAAGCCTGGTTTTATATGCTAATTCTACACTCATTACTGCATCATACATCAAGCCACTGCAGGAAACCACATTAAAAGTACTAGGCAAAGTTCCAGGGAAGTTATTTGACACATTCTTGTAAAAAGCAAATTTGCTCATTCAGTAAAATCACGAGATATTATGTTGTTAACATTTTAAAACACAGCATTATCTACTGTTACCTAATTTATAGAAAAAGAAAACTATAAGATAGCAAGAAAAATACATCTTCTATTATTATAAGTGAACATCAATATTACAGAGCACCTATAGCATATCTGGCACAATGCTAAATAGATGACCTTTGAATGACATGGGTTTGAACTGCGTGGGCCCACTTATACACAGAATTTTTATAGTACAGTCCTGTAAATGTATTCTCTCTTCCTTAGGATTTCCTTAATGACATGTTCTTTTCTCTAGCTTAATTTATTATAAGAATATACTATAAATACATAAAACATACAAAGTATGTGTTAATCAACTGTCTTATAGGTAAGGCTTCTGGTCAACAGTAGGCTATTAAGTAGTTAAGGTTTTGTGGAGTCAAAAGTTATACATGGATTTTTTTTAACTGCATAGCAGTTTGGTGCATTGTTCAAGGGTCAATTATACTTCATATTCATTATCTCATTTATCCTTATAACAACTTCTTGAAGTAGATATTATTATAGCCAGCATAGCAGAGGAGAAAGCAAGGCTAAATAAACAGATCAAGGTCCATTGCCTTGGAAGAAAAAGGACTTGAATTCTTCATCGTTATGCTTAACATCTCTCATTTCAATCCCTAAGTTGGAACTTGTTTTGATCAATTTCTTTTTATATTGCTTAATCCTATGTCTGTATGAAATGGACGTTATATAGTATGTTTAAACTATATACTATAATGAAATATAAGGCAATTCTGCAAACATTCTTGCAATCTAGAATGCCATTTAGATAAGGAATAGTAGATCTGAGAGTGTGAAAGACACAGCTCTCTGGGAAAATGTAAAGCCATATTTGCAGCAGCAGGACAACTCTATCCTAGCTAGAAGATGACTTGGTAACCACCTGTATTAAGGGGATTCTTCTGGTATTTCTGCAATATTCATACCAAAGAATTTTTAATTCTATTTATCTTTAGTTCTAAAAACAGAAAGAAAATTTGAACCTAAAATTAAACCTAGTAAATAATATGCCTTTAATAAAGTTAAAGGGAAACTTAAGATAGCAATGAATATTATAACTGACCTTGTGGATTCTGTTATGAGCTATCCATGATGGTAACAAAAAATAGTGACTAAATAGCAGGTGACAGGGCTAGCTAGGACTTAAGAACCTTTTAAAACAAAAGAGGGTCATGGGCTAGAAGTAATGGTACTGTGACTTTTTTCTCTCCAACTGTTCATATTAATTTCAACTATGAATTAATAGAGCATGTTCTCAGAGTGAAATGGGAAGTTTTCATATTCCATTCTATATACATCTTATATTTTACATACATTTGCGCACACACACACACACACACACACACACACACACACACCTGGTTCACCCAAATCTAAAAGTTCAAAATGGAAAAAACACCTGAACACAGCAGGTTTAGTATAAAATTAATGGTTTTAAAATAGTTGTAAAAGCAACATTTTAGTCACTGTGGAGATTGAAAAAACAGCACCCTTACATTAACATATTAACTAATAATAACAGTATTATTTCATTATCCCTGAATTTATCAAATAGTTTTTAGATTACTATGTAAAGTTTCAGTGATTATGTTTTACAAAGGGAACACAAAAAGTATTCTAAGTACAAACAATAGTGAAAACCTAAGGGAAAGGAAAGAAGTCTTTCCTATATTAGTTACCATCAGAACATACTCAGACATGATTGAGCTACTTAAAGTATTTTTATTTGTTTTTCTAGATAAGTGAAGTGCTGGAATCAGTTATTCTGAATGTATTGGAGGAAATGAATGGAACTATCTTTAGGTTAAAAAATCAGAAATTCATTTCAATTAAGAAAGAACTTCAGGCTCATAAGCTGAACAAGAGATTCTACCACCCCTCAAAAAAAGATTTTACAAACGGACATTTCTAGAAACTCTTCAGGTATATACATATATACAA